CGCACACACATGTATACGGAGGTAGAGGTAGAGAGAGACACACAAAAAAAATATATGCATGCATACAGATAGACGCCCAGCAGGAAGCGCCTACTCAATAGGCGCCCAGTAGGCGCTTCCTGCACGTTGGTCTCGACGCAATAGTTCTGCAATAGGCATATTCTGCATGAGTCTATATATGTGTACTCAAAAACATCTGGAGGAAACAGAGAGAAGAAATACATTTGTATATACGGATACGTGTGTTTATGTATAGATACGTATATGTATATACATATATATATATATATATATATATATATATATGTACACGTATAGAGATACGTACCTTTCTAGCGTTGCTAAAAATCGTTCTGTATCCTTTGCTTCCACATAATATTTCTGCAATATCGAGAACTTCTCATAGAAGCGGGCGAGGGTACTGGAAGAGGCAGCAGCATTTCCCAGCCATTGAAGGACTCGCTGTATACGCTGCAGCATTAGCTGCTCGTATAACGAGGCAACCGCTGACTTCCTGCAAAAGCAGCCGCAGCAGAAGCAGAAGCGGGAGCAGCATCAGGAGCAGCAGCAAAAGCAGCAGGATCAGTAGCAGCGGCAGAAGCAGCAGCAGCAAAATCAATAAAAAAAGTGCACCAGTAGTACCGACAGCAGCAGAATAGGCAACAGCAGCAGGAGCGGCCGTACCAGTGGGAAGAACAGCAGCAGCAATGACGGCAGCGCAGCCGGGCAGCCGGCGGCGGCAAAAGCGTCAGCAGCAGATGCAGCAGCAGCAGCAGCAGCAGCACAAGAAGCAGCAGCAGCAGCAGCCACGGAACAGCAGAGCGGAAGGACAGGTATACACAAAGTACATGTACAGTACATGTTGAACAGAAGATAGGCAGCGCTCGTTGGCATATTGCTGAGAAACGGTGGTTACACATAGATACACACACATAAACATATGTGTTCCTCTTCGATGTCTTCCTTGTAAATATATATAAATATATGTATAGATACATGCATATATGTTCGTTACCAGGAGTACGTACAGTAGACAACTGCTTACATGGCTAGAAAGCAACGATGCCTCTATTACATATACGTATGCACACACATACTCACATGATTTTACTAGCGGATCTTCGCAAAACTGGATATATACTTCTTACAGCAAAACTATGTAATACATATGTGTGAATTCTCGTAGATCCTTCGAGCCACTACCGCAGAAGTTACATATATATCATATACATATAGACGCTTACGGGAGAATAGACAAGACTGTTATGTGCAGACGTATGCAATAGTGGGACCTCACTACATATATATATATATATATATATAACTGTATACAATGTACAAGTAGGAGAATACGCAAAGTGGACTCTACAGAGGATGCTACATATACACCCGTATGCATACAGATACCATTTGCGCTTATAATGTATATAGACAGATATGTGTATAAATACAGGTTTACGCATAGAGGTAGTTAAGATATATATACGCAGAAGCAGGAGATAAATACGCATTGCGCGGACATGATAGGTATAAGCACATCAGAAAGCCTCCCGCACAGTACACACGAACACAAAGGTACGCCTAACATATATATATATATATATATATATATATATATATATATATATATATATATATATATATATATATACGCTCAAGTTGAGCTAGTAGAACAATCCGAATATACAAAAAGAAGTTACATTCTATATATGTAGATCATACAACGAAATATACACGAAAGTAGAATAGGGCGTACCTCTCTCTCCAGAAATCCAGCTCAGCAAGGGGGTACTTGCCTTCTGGTACTCTTCTGTGTTCTGCTTCTACTAACTCGCGAGACAATCTGTATAGACACATAAAGAACGACAACCGTATACATATACGTATAAGTACACATACATACGTATACGCACGCATGCGTACATGCATATATATATATATATATATATATACAAATACATATCAAATATACGCATACTTATGTACATGTATATATATATTCCCGCGTCTACACGCATATAGAGGTACGGAAGAGTATGTAACCCCAACTTATATTGCGCGTGCGAATAGTCAGGAGATAATATATACAGTATGTGCTATACTGGTATATACAATCTGCGCTTCACAGACTGGAAGAGAACAGTAGTCGTGCACGTGCATAGACGCGCATAGACAGAGGGAGAGATCTGGAGACTTAAACATATATTCATACGTATATGCCGTGTGCAAACAGCTGGTAAAGCATGCTTACAGACAGTCCTACATAGGCCTATACCGATTCTGCTTCTGCAAGTACTTGATGCGGAGCGCTATACATATATATATGCACAGACATAGGTATATATGTATACCTTAAGTGTATGCAGAAAGCCCTGTAAAGGTATACACGTATATACATTGGGAGAATCCGCTTGTGCTATTACTTTATGAGTAGCAGATATGCACGCGCATGCATACGTGTTCATATATACACATATATATCAGTACGTATCCGTTTGTATATGCATATATGTATGTATGTATACATTGCGGAAATACAGAAGGCTCTACGTAGGTACGCACACATTCCGTTTGTGTAAATAAGGGATGCGAAGCATATATTTATATATACATATATACATATATATATATATATATATATATATATCTTCATATATTGCCATGTTTGTACACGTATATGTGCGTATACCTATATCTATATACATATATATATATATAGAGAGAGAGAGAGAGAGATACAGAAAGGAAGAAAGGAAGCGAAAGAGGCAAAATAAGTAGTATGACACATTCTCATGCGCCAGTTCCATACCTGGTTACGTAATGTGTCGTACATACATAGAGACATATGTATACGTGTACGCATATACATATATATAAATATGTATGTAGTAGTCCAGAATGTACCTCTGTCCATTCGTATACAGCAGCTTTCATTCCTTCTATAAGATGTGTATCTGTAGAATCAGCGAGACCCTCGAGATCTTCACAAGGTATTCTCAGTACAACTGCCTCATATACTTCTCCTATTGTTAGTTTTATAGAAGAAGATAACTTCTCTGTAGCCGTTGATAATTCCCATCTTAGCTCAGCAGGTAAAGAGATGGCTTTCTTTTCTTTCCCTTCTTTGTCTAATATGTTCACATCTTCTTTCTCGGTCTGCGGCACAACGAAAACACAGAACAGCCAGACAAGCTTTCTTTAACATCAAAAACATACATACTGCGCATCAACATATATATATGTACATATATATACATATATATATATATATATATGTGTATATTTATTTATTTGTGTCGACATATATATATATACAGGTATGCATATATCATAGAATTACATGTCTATCCGGATAAGGCAGAAACGGAAAGAAAGGCAGATATCTAAATGAGTGCAGATGTATACGCGTGTGGAGAAGACACTCGACATCACTGGCAAAGGAGAAGTGTGAAGGGATAATATGCACCATCACCATGTAGACATGTAGCCGCAGTTTATGTATAAATATAGATGCGTACCTATCTGTCTGAATATATATATATATATATATATATATATGTAAACGTGTATGTAAGTGAGGGAAGAGGGTACTACATAGTGCGCACAAATTGTATAGACGCGCGGGAGTGACACAGTATACACATAGCTTTTTTCTATATGGATGGCGGTCCTGGAGCGGCAGACAGGGAGTCACTGCCCAGCCGCAAAGACCCTCGTATGTATATATGTTTGTACGTATACATATATATATAATATATGTAAATGTAAATACATGCATCTTCTCACGTAGTGATCTATATACCCTTCCATATATATATGTATATATATATATATGGGAGGCAGAGAGACTGACACAGTGCGACTATCACATCTCTCATGTTTGTGGTGAGAGGTGGCCCCAGAAAATGAAGCGTCTCAGCAGGAGATAATCAAGATGCATGCACATATACATACATATATATAGATATATGTTTCCGTGTACATCCATATATATATATATATATACATATATATATGTGTGCTTGTATGCCAAAGAGGAGGACAAGCACTGAATAATCCCGCTTTATATACATATACATATATGTATGTATATGCATACATGAATTTGTATTTGTATACAGATGAAAAGAGGATACGTAATGAGTTATTCTTACTCCTTCCAAGGCAGCTGTTGCTGCAGAACTCTCTGCAGGTGCTGTTGTAACTGCAGATTCGCCATCGTCTTCCGCCGAAGCAGCTGATGCATTTTCTGCTGCGGCTCCCTCCTCCTCTTCTTCCTCCTCATTCCGATCCCCTGTTGCTGGTGCTGCTTTATCTGCCGCATCTTCTTCAGGTGTCTGTGCTCCTATATTATCAGAAGAACTACTTGGTGCTGCTACATCATTATCACTGTTATTCTCTTCTGCAGAGCTCCCCTTCCTTGATAAAGAACAAGACGATGAAGAAGAAGAAGAAGAAGAAGAAGAAGAAGAAGAAGAAGAATCACGTCCGTGTGTATCATCTGGTCTGCTGCTCTCGCTATTGCTACCATTATCGTTGCTTCCGTCGCCGCTGCTCCCGCCGTTGTTACTGCTGATACTGCTGCTGTTATTATTATCTGCTGAGAATGCAGGAACTGTACTTTTCCTCTTGTCGTCTTTCAATAAAGGTATATAGACGTCTTCGAGAAGATTGCGCACATCATACAAAAATTCCTGATCAGTCACCCCTACAGACAGGCACCGCTTCATTTCCTCCTCAATATTCTGCAAGCACCACGCTCCATACAACAGAAACGTAGTTTCTTCCTCTTTATTACCTTTTACTGTTATTTTTATATATATGTGTATACATACATATATAGAGAGAGGCGGACTGGTGTATCAAGCGCAGCAGACTATGTACATATATGTATAGATACAGACATAAATATCTACAAAATACAAACTCACATGCAGAGCACATATGTAGGGAAGCAGGTGGATTATTAGATAGACGTAGATACGTGTCGGAGCAGATGTATACACAAAAGAACGCACATGGTTGTCCACACTTGTGATATATATACGTATATATCTATGGGAAGTATACATATAGGTATACATATACACATGTATGTATATATGAATATATATATGTATTTACGCGGAAGCACACTCACAATAATGTGTATACAGATACATATGTATATATGAATGCATATAAACGTCTTCAAGAAGGTTACGCATCTCATATAAAAACTTTTGATCAGTCACCCCTACAAACAGACACCGTGCACATGTATATACAGATGTACACATCTGAACAGAAGGATATACCTGTCAAAGCAGACACATACACACGCGAAGGCACAAAACAATGCAGAAGGGTACTACACGCAGATATCTGCATATATACATATACACACACGCATACATACACATAACTACATATATCTATATATATATACATATACATCTGTATGGTGATGTATGCCTGCACATACTTACGCTCACTTGTATATATACGTACACATATGTGGATACATATGCGCACAATTTATACGCACATAAGGACATATAATGAACACGCACATCTTCTATTTATAGTTATGTACGTACCATGTACACAGCGTAGGGCACCTGCATACATAAATAGCCTCCAAGGATCTTCCTTGCGCAATACGTGAACATATATACCTACATATACGCGTCGAATTCTCAAGCGTAAAAGTAGAGAATTGTACGAGTGCCGTGTGGCTTTGAAACTGTACGCAGTACTACAATGTAGTATGATACACAGACTTTTACGTATGTATATATATGGATATGTGGAGAGAGATGGACAGATGTGTGATTATGTGTACAAAAAGCAATAAGCACAGGTGAGCACAGCTGCTCAAGGCTATCCAGAAGATGACCTACCTGCGGTACTACAGTGTACTGTATATGTATGTATATATATATATATATATATATATATATATATATATACGTGTATACCAGTCCATATTCATTCATATATGTATGTATGTGTATAGACGTGTATTCATACAGCAAACAAGAATTCTATGTGAAGACACCTGCAGAGAGATCTGTTACACGCTGAGTTCTTGTTATTTTTCTCGCCAATGTAAGTATCATGTCGTATACAGATATATATATATATATATATATATATATATATATATATGCTGAAGAACAGAATAATACAAGGCGAAACGCTTACCTTTTCTTTTGAACTCATAGGGATTCGCTTTTTTTTCAGCACCGAGGGATAAACCGTATACATATACATACATATAGATGTATATCACGTATGCGCTAGTATATACCAAGACAAGAGAAATGACTTACTTTCCCTGTTACATCTACAGAACCTTCAGTAAGCTTTAGAACATAAACGAGACGTTTGATAGGGTCGGTGCGGCAGAGCCAGTTGCTGCATAACATAAGTTCTTCCGTCTCTCCTTCTTCATTCTGTAAAACGAGACAAAAAATCGAAAAGAAGAAAAAAAAAGACAATAACGAGCAGGAAACAGCACTGCGGGAACATGAGTCCTCCGCAGCTGCATACGGATGCGTCTACGTATGTGCATATATATATATATATATATATATATATATATATATATATATATGTCTAAAACTCTATGTGTTTATATACATGTAAATATGTATGTGCATATATATACACATATATATATGTATATACATATAATATATATATATATATATATATATATATATATGTATGGCTATGTATACACATGCATACTACGTAGAGAGGAGAAAACGGTAGAGACAGAAAGGAAAAAAAAGCTAGCAACAATAGTACGGGGAGGGGAAAAGGGAAAGGCAGCGCATCGGAGCCAAAATGAACCTAGACACTACACCACTGGAACGTGTGCATGTGCATGGACATGCAGGTACGCCGATGTGTATACCGGCTACGTACGTATATCGGCCTGCACGCATGTCTGCCACTCCACAGCCGTACGGAAAGAAGACGAAGAAAAGAGAAAGAAGAAGAAGAAGAAGAAGAGCAAGAAGAAGGAGAAGAAGGAGAAGAAAAAGAAGGGAAGAAGGAACAGAAGAGAAAATGGACCTCGTATAAGACTGCGGAAGAGTACGGAGGAAGAAAAAGGAAAAGAAGAACCAAAAGAAGGAGAAGAAGACAAAAAAGAAGAGGAAGAAGAAGAAGAAGAAGAAGAGGAAGAAAAAAGACGAAAGAGAAGAAGGCGTCATGTTCGCTCTTCAAAGATAACAGCCGAGTCGAAGAAGAAGAGAAAAAAGAAAAGTGGAGGAAGGGAAAAGACAAGTTGAAACGGAAACAGAAAGTTAGTTTACGTGAGAGATACAGGAAAAAGACAAAAGGAAGAGACTGAAGACGACAGGATCAAAGGGGAAACCGGAAGGAAGGTAATGGAAGAGAATGTGTGTTGCTAAATCTGACGCCAAGGTTACAATATCTTCGTAATTTGGTGGGAAGCGTTACTGTAGCGAAAGGTTCTAGTCCTTTTCCAATCTCCTCTGCGCAGCAATAGACAGCGATATATCCTTGTATCGATACATATATATAGGGAGAGAGACACACACACATGTATATAAATATATGCAGAGATACATACAAATACACACATGCATACATATACACATTCACATGCATATACGCATATATATATATATATATGTCTACGTGTATATACATTCTTGTATATACACACACATACTTGTACATCCATATGCATACAGATATATTTTTATAACTACATGCATGCAGCGAACGCTATACTTCTCTGTATGCACGCTTAGCACTTCCATTCAACGCATGCACGCATGCGTATGCAGAAACTCTCTAGCGTTTGTTCTGGTGTGCGTCCACTTATATTCTCCCTTGTCCGAGGGCCACCGCTTTAGCAGATTGCTACATCGTGGAAGCAGACACATTTTCCTTGCTGTGTCGTTATCAACCAAATAGAGTCTAGGTGTCGCCTGTACATATGTATATGTATATATATATATATATCGAATTTATGTAGATATACGAGCACGAAGTGACTGCACGTGTCGCGTCTGTGTATAATATATATATATATAGAATATAGGCAGGTATACAAGTATGCAGTGAGAGCCTTCTCCTACAGCGTTGTACGTATACGTGCTCGGGCTTTCAACTTAGTACTCTACATCCTATCTCCTTGAGTATGGTCTCCTCATCGAATAGGTGTAGAGCGAATTACAGGAATGGATTGTTCTTTGCATATTGCGGTGTACATCCCTCAAACTCGTGCAAGTGTGAGTCTATGAGCTTTTATTTTCTGTATGTATGTATGTACATAACTGCCTATATACATCTCTATCTACCTTGTAATTACGCGTACGCATATCTGTGTGTATATGCATATAGTTGAGTATATGAAACTTTCTACGAACATCCAGTTTGTCGTATGCATGTATGTATGTCTACGAGATATTTCTCCACTCTACGTGTCACGTAAATGTGCACATGAGCTTCCCATGTGCGGCACCTGTTAATACGTATGTTCCTGGGACATTCTACTATTTTCCGTATGTATCGTGTACGTATACCTTCGTACACATGTCTAACTATGAATACAGATAAAAATATATGTATATATGTGTGCATGCACGTATACATAGATACATCTATGTACAAAAACTATATACGTCTGCGGGACAAGGAGGCATCTGCCTGATGTATCTCCACAGATATGTCCCGAAGGCTTTTGTCTGTGGGATGTGTAGAAGCAAGTCTGACTACTGTATTGAAAAATCTGCACTTCTTCAGTATCACGCCCTTACTTGGCCTTGTATGGAGCGCCTAACAGGAGGATTTCCGCTGTCAAGCGGCCGCATATAAAAGAGCAGGGTATCTCCTTCACGTCCGCATAAAAGAAAATTCATAATTTGCTCGTCTGCATTTTGACCGTCCTGCTGCACCAGGAAGGAAAGAAAAACGAGAAGAAGGAGAAAGAGGTCGTCCTTCAAAAGCAAAACAAACTCTATATAATAAAGACGACCCGCTTCTCGCGGGCAGATCTTAATAATCGTGGAAACCACCAGTCAGTTTTACGCGACAATACTCTCCCCTCCGAATGCTGCGGCATGACGGCAGGCTGGCAGTACAAGGCCAGAAGCTTATATATATATATATATATATATATATATATGTATATATATAGGTATGCATACACGTATATATACGAATATCAATGTATACGTGTATATATGCGTGCAAACGCATGAATATAAAAAAGACGGTTTAGCTTTCAAAAATTGGTCTTTACAAAAGTATGAATCGCTAGTCACTGCACACGGCAATACTGTCTCCTTCGTATGTTGCCGCAGAGAGGCGACACTGCAGTACAAGACAGTTGCGGAGATTCCATTATGACCAGCGCAGTGGCTATATAGGTCTATCTGTATGGATGCGCACACACGCATATATGCGTAAGTGTGTGATGATCTACATACAAGTAATGATCTCTTACTAGGGCTGTGCGAGTAAACGGAGGTGTGAGAGGGGAAAGCACCGAATAGAATTCGTGAGTGTGCATGAGGTTATACATATATCTGCAAGAGCTTATATTTATCCACATATGTGCGTATCAAGGTGTACGTATTTATGTTTGTACACATGCGTAAAGACGCACTCATATACGGTTGTATGAAACATCTCCGTGTGATTGATAAGCCAGGTGGACGAGCATGCGAATAATAGAAAGTTATGCGCCCGGTACGGACTTGGTATAGACCATCCAACAGGTTAGAACAAGATGAAAAAACGCCTGGCCGGTTTTCTGTTGCTGCTGCTGCTGCACCTACTACTGCTGTTGTCGTTGCCTTCCTTTCTTCAGATATAGAGAGAGGCCAGCTAAGAAGTGTAAGCAGCTTATCGTAAAAGACCACTTGAGAAGTGTAGGCAGCTTGTCGTCAACGCATGTCATGAGGATCCCATCTCTGTGTGTCTCGCCGTTTAGCCTTCTCAGTAACAGCTACCACTATAGCAAAGCAAACCAAGCACCTCCTTTTGTGCATCATTGGACCTCAAAGGCACTTCTTGTTATTGAGAGTAATACTAGAGAAGACGTCCAAAGGTCTCCAGACGTACGAATATAACTCAGGACTTCATATTGCGTGTCATTCTAAGCAGGAGGGCCTTATGTATGCTTTTGGTAGCACTAGAACTGATACTCAAGGGTCTATAGATGTGACAGTGGAACCGCGCACTCCATCACGTGAATTATTCTATGTGTAAATCCCTTGTATATGCTTCTACTACTACTACATACGATACTCAAGCGTCTATAGATGGCACAGTAAAGCAGAGACTTCTGCTTGTGTATCGGCATGTGTGGCACTCCTTTAGGTATGCTATGAATAGTACTAGAAATGAGACGCGCGGAGGGATAGGTGTGACGGTAAGGCCGCGTACTTCGTCTTGTGTATTATCATAAGTGGAACTCCCTTATCTATATGCGCCTAAAATTTCTGGAACTGGTACCCGAGGGTCCACAGATGTAATAACAAAACTATGTACCTTGTGTATTTCCTACGTAGAAGTCCTATATATATGCATTTGATACTACCAGAAAAGATAATTGAGGGTCCACAGGTGTACCACTCAAACTCCGCACCTCAGCTTGTGTTTCGTCACAGGTTTCCTCCATCGGCTTTTGATACTACTAGATTTTATTTTCAGGTGTCAATAGATGTTGCCGTAACATTACGTGCCTCATCCTGCGCACTATGATATGTAGAAATCCACTACTTATGCATCAAATACAGCTGCAGGTTTTATAGGCGTAAGAGGAATAGCTACTCATGTTTCTCACTGTTCGCGTCCATCTATTCTCAAAGATAATACTTTTTTGTTAACATCTTCAGCAGGACAGCCTCGCTACCACATGTGTAGCGCTATCGTTTCAGTTGTTCTCCAAGACACACAAGGCAGTCACAAATATTACGAGTAAACATACGAATGTATTATAAGTAGACATATGAATGTATTACAGCATTGAGACATGCGTCCGGTCCATCGAAGATTTGTTACCTTTGCAAGCAGGGCGTCCCACTGCCGAGTACTGATGTCGAGGAGCTCCACGGTCTTCTTCTTTATCCAGGACTTCCTCACGTCGAACGCCATGGTTGCTTCTACTCATATAGATAGGCATCTATATACGTCGGTTTGTGGCATACATATACGCGTCTAGGTACGTCAGTTGTGGCACGCCTGTACGCATCTATATAAGTCGGTTTCTAGCGAAGGTACGTCCCTTTTACTATACGTGTATTAGCTTTTCGCAGCTACGTGTGTGCGCCGTCGGCCTCTTGACGCAAACGCACATATACGCAGAAATCATGTGTTTTTTGCCTAAGAAAAAGACGTGCTCTACTGCCCGGTCCTCCTATATATATATATATATATATATATATATATATATATACATATATATATATATATATGTAGTATGTCTTTCCTGACAGAGAAGAGATGTCTTTCCACCGTCCACCTACGCATACATACATCACGTTTTTCCCGACACAGAAACAGGTGTTTTTCACCGCCCGCCCACAGATGCGTATTTACGTATGCAAGCTCTGCTGCTCATGTGAAGGCTATAAGCAACGCCTTCTGCAGCGTGCTACTTCGTTTGAGTTAGACGCTTCCCCACATGTGACCTTCTCAAAAAAGGGCGCCGCTCGAGGTAATCGGCCGCTGCATATAGTCTACTTGGCTAGTAGATGGCGTCTGCTGGTGCCCCTATCGCATTAGAGAAAGAGGACGAGAAAACTAAGCAGCAGAACTGCCGTAGCTCTCTCCTGCTGCTGCTGCGACTACGTTAAAGTCCGACGCAGAAAAAGACACTTTATCGAAGTTGCTGTGTCTCTTTTTTGTCGCTCGGACGTCATTGCAAATGAGGAGAAAAAAGAGTTCTTCGGCTAAAGTCTATCTCTCTACTATTGCTGCAACCGCGTTAAAGCCGCGGTGTCTCCTCTTTGCCGCTCGGACGTCATTGCAAATGAGAAGAAAAAGGAAATCTCCGGCTAAAGTGTATCTCTCTGCTATTTCTGCAACCACGTTAAAGTCAGAGACAGGGAAAACGTTTCATTGGAACTCTTGCACCTCGTCTTTGTTGCTGAAATCCATGGGAGTAAGAGGCAGAAAGAACTCTTCTGCGCAAGTAGTGTTTTCGCGCGCTCTTGCAGGAGTCACATTGAACTCACACCTGGAAGGGGCCTCCGCTACCGTAGCCCGCAGACAGAAGCTTTCTACGTTGTTTACAGATGAGGTCTGCTGTTGCAGGAGCGGCGTCGGCTTTACGTATGTGCGCTCCTACGTACTGAGCGTAAACCGAGGTAACCGACAGTATTTTACTTTACTTGGAGACGGAGGTCTGCTGTAGGTGGAGCTACATTCGGCTTATACATAGAGAGAGATATATAGAGATATATATGTGAGCTCTCATACGATGGGCATCACTCGGGATAACCTACAGCTTGAAGCATTTTACTTTGCTTGGAGAGTAAAAACTCTTGCTGTGAAAACTGCATTCCCTTCACATATGTCAGCCCTATATTCACGGTGAGGCTCATTCCAGGAAGTTGACACTAAGAAGTGCATTTGTTGAATAGCAGATGAAGGTCTGTTGTCGCTGGTGTGCAGGAACCACGAGGAGGTTTAAGGCAGAGCATATCTTCATCTGCTCTGCTGTAGCTCTAATGTTGCTGCGATTCCAGGGATTCACCTCTGTGAGCTCCTACCCGAGGTAATCGACAGCTAAAAACAATTTTCCTGGCTTGAAGACGGCTCTCTGATGTCGCTGGAACGACATTGAACTTGGCATTTCTATGGAATAAGAGGTAGCCGACTCCTGCAAGTGTTTTGCTTGGACAAGCTAAGCATCAGCGTATTAAACATATACGCTTCGAGTGCGCGGAAAAGCACGTAGAAAGCTATGAGCCGGTACACATACACACTCTGAGTACGCAGAAAGGCACGTAGACACACGCGAAGTGGTTACGCATACACAGCCTGACTAGAGGAATCTGTGTGGATGCGCTTGCAAGGCCAGCCATCAACGTGCTCGATTTTCCCAGAGAATGAGAAGAGACTCGGAAAAAAGATGCTGATATGCTCCCCCTCAGGACCAAATGCTGAGGGTGAGCTCTATATAGATGTTCTCGTTAAGAGGCAGACATCAGCAGCCTCTTCGGAGAAGTAGCAGGGGGAGGAGGAAAGAGAGGAAGACGCCCTCACTCAGATCCAGCAGCTGAGCGTGCACCGTATATAGATGTTTACAAGGAGAGACAGGTACTACCAGCCCGTCTGGCTTCCCAAGAAAACTACCAGGAATAGGAGGAAAGACAGGGAGACGCCCGCTCTTGGAGTTGAAACGCCGAGCGTGGCATATACGCGGACGTTACGACTTGGAAGCAGATACCGTCAGCGTGTCCTGCTTCTCAGGAGAACTAGCAGGGGCAGGAGGAAAGGTAGGAAGACGCCCACCCCGCTTCAAATGCTGGGCGTGGTACTGCTGTCGATGTATGCTATCACACGTACGGTGCCGTAAAGGTGAAAGGGGGGAGATGGAGGGAACTGAAGAAGCAGAAACAAGACCTTGAAGTAAAGAGGTAAGCGCAGTGAGCAAACGCACATCTCTTCATTGACCCTCGAGGCATCCCCTTAGACACGTCAACACTGACAGAGCTCCGCCTATCTCCAGTCGAATGACGCGTCTGGCATTCAAGCACTGTGCCTCCACCACTCGTGCTGGCGCATATTGCAGACATTTGTGATATACACACATACACACATATATACACACACATATATACATTTATATATATGTATATGTAGATATATATGTATATATCTATGTGTAGAGGTGGCTGGTCGCTTGTAATGATCTCTCACCACGGCTAGCACGAGATGAACGGCGACGCTGTACAGATCACAAAGAATCACCATACACGTGTACCGAATCGCATCACTGTCGAGCTGCATGGAGTTACAAAAACGAGTAGGTGCTACGAAGGTCTCCACCAGCATACACATACATGTATATACATCCATACATACATAGATATATACACACATATGCGCATATGTACATCTGTGCACATAGTCAAACATACACATATATATGTATATGCATATGTATATATGTGTACGTATTTCTACCGAAAAAGCGGGGATTCGCGCTCGATGCAGAACAGTCGCCGTGTAGTAAAAGACGTGCAAAGGCCTTCGAGCGCGCTAACGAAGAGCCAGTAGCCGCATCCCTCGCACTATTTAGGAATCACACTCATATCAGACATTTCCAGCTGTGAAGCTGTCTACCTTTCTGACAAAAAGTAAAGAGCTTTCCGTTGGTTCTGCGCAGCCGTACTGATCTCGTTGAATAGCAAAAGGTGACGTTCGCAGGAGCAGAACGCCTTTGCTACAAGTCTGTGTTCGTATGAACACACAGCCGACTTCTGGTGTAATTGTACGTTTGTCGTACAACCGCTCGTAGCGGATGACTAGAAAGGGAGATCAGTATACTGTCTTTTTCGCGGTTTTCTGATACACCATGCTAGCACATGGCGCACTGTCTCTAAGACGGCCGGATATACACTTGTTAGCGAGGAGATACTTGAATAGAGATGGTCGCTCTGGCGCCTACTCGCTCTTCACTAGTCTGCAGGGTAGCGGCCGAAAATACTCCAGAATGGGATGTACTTGTATATGCGGAACATGCGAATGTCTCAACCGCCCGAAGCCGCCGGTAGGCATACGCTGTTCAGACATGTATACATATGTATATATATACATATATAGGTATGTGTACGTGCGTGTCTCTATATACACACACACACACACGGGAGCTGGTGCGCATTACCCGCGGGCTCGTCCGCCGGTGCCAGAGATAATACTTCATTACAAGCGAGCTTTGGCCTTGGCTGGTATTTTCGCTGCGCTCCACGGCGGCTAGTCGACTCGTACGAGACAACGTAAGGAGTCCTGAAAAAGCCGCCGGGGTCTCCTCACAGTTCTCGCTGAAGGAGTTATAATTTGTAAGGTATGCACCGTCAAACTTGTACAGCTTAGCCGGATAGAATTCTCCTGCTCGCATTACGCCCACGTGCTGCCGACGAGGTGGGCGGCCGCACTTGAAGCAGAAGCGCGTGGGTGCATTTCACGGAGCATAAACGCAGATACCCGGCTGTCTCTATCAAGAGAACATCCAGCTGGCTAGCAGGTAACCATGCACATATGCAATCAAATACGTATTTCCTGCGCACCCCCACGCATCTCCACACGCACGTGTGCACCTGCGCTTGCGCATGTGTCCACCCGTACATCTCGCGCACGAGAGAGGACAACAGTACGCGGATTTAACTTTGCAGAGCACAGGTTTCATCACCCTTAACGGCCTTTCCGGAAGACGCTTGCTGGCAGGGTGCCTGTGTGAGCGGTTTCCCCCATGCTGCGCTGCCGTGCTGCTTTTCGTAGAGCTTTACGTAGCGCAGCACCGGCCAGTACGTCGTGTCGTCAGCTGTCGATATCGCATGTGTTTCTTAAAGGACAGACGTCCGCCTTCACTGCAAATTAGTGCCTCCGTAAGGCAGTGCAAGAACTGAATTTGGGTTTCTGTATTTCCGTGCAGTCAAGGGCGTCCGTGATGTTGCCAGCCTACCACGGTGGACGAGGCGTGGTGCGTTGCAGAATTCTTCGTGTAATCACGTGTCCGGAGAAATCTCACTATAGTCCTGCCTAGTACGGCGTAAGTGATGCATTTGCTGGGGCCTAGACACGCGCGGAATTTCTGTAAAACTCCTGCTTGAGAGAGCGTGAGTGATGCATTTGCTGCTGTCGGCCCCCCCGTGGTGTGCACTCTCTCCGGCAGCCGCGTCCTTGTGAAGCGGGAGGGCCGCCGCCGGCAACACGGCAGCCTCCCTGGAGTGGAAATTCGTCGTTGCCGCCCAAAGGCGTGTGGAAACTCTATAAAGCTCCTGCCTAAGAGACCAGACGCGTCTGCCGCCTCCTCAGCGCCTGCGGGGGTGTACGGACATTCTATCTGCCGTGTCTAGGTGAAGCGAAAGGCCGATAACACAGCGCCTTTTCTGCGGATGGCGACCCCTCTGCTGACGTCCAGACACGTGTAGAACCTACAATCTTCTGGCTAACACAGCAGTAGTGGTGCATGTTCAGAACTGTCAGCGCCTCCGACATCTCGTCAGCAGTGTCTGAGTGAAGTAAAAGGCCGCCGCCGACAACGCAGCGGCCTTCCTGTGGATGGCTATCTTCTCCGTCCTCTGGGTGTTCAGAGGCCCACCGATACCAGTGCTGTACAAGTTCACGAAAGACTTGGTCAAGCGGAGAGGCAGCCACAATGGGACTGTGAAGGCTTTGCAAGCTTCAGCCACATAATGGCGTAGAACGTAGGAGCGCAGCACTGGAGCCGTGTACCGCGTGTCCCCGTGGACTTTCTCGCTGAGTAGAGAGAGGGCACCACACAACCTAGTCACGAGGTGCAGGGGTATTATGTCGGCTAGAAAGCTGCCCGTCCCCTCGGATATATGCTAGCTGCTTCAAGACCCTCGTCGCCGATAAGAGAGGTGAAGATACACGTCTTAGTAACAAGATATAGAGTTTTGCACAACGCGAGAACGCGACACTGGAGGACAGCGCTGCTTGCCCGTGGATCTCCGCGCCCATAAGAGAGATGGCACTACTTTTTTAGTAACCGCTTGTAGAGGCAGCGTGCCCGCTGGAAAGATGCTGAGTCTCTCGGACGTATGCTTTCTGCTTCAGGACCGTCCTCGCCGATGAAAGCGGTGGCAGTTCCCGTCGCAGTCTCGGGATATGGAGTAGCGGGACAGCGCAAGAGCGCGGCACTCGATGTCTGCGCTGCCTGACCTTGCTGGTAAGAAAGATAGCACTACTCTGGTTAGCCACGGGATGCACAGGTAGTGTGTCCGCTAACAAATTACCGGTTCCCCGCTATATATTGTTGCGCTTCACAACCGTCTCTTCCGACAAAAGAGACATTACTCGTCTTAGTCGCGAAGAATAGACTTATGGACAGCGCAAGAACGCGGCACTGGACGTCTGCGCTGCTTGTACGTTGACTTTCACGCTGGTGTAAGAGATGGCACTATTCTTCCCAGTCCCGAATGGAGCGGTAACGTGTCAGCTAGAAAGGTACTGATTCCGTCGGATATACGGATACTGCTTCAAGGCCGTCCTTCCCGGTAAAAAAGAGGACAGCACCAGTCCTAAACGCGAAATCAAGAGTTAGTGAGTCGGGCAGAAAGCACCTAGTCTTCTCCGGTACATGTTTATTGCTGCGAAGCAGCCCTCGCGTCTTGTGGAGATAGCACTGCTCGTCTTGATTATCACATATAGCGTTAGTGTGCCGGTTAGAAAGCTAGCAGTTCTCCCGCGCGTTAGCTTACTGCTCCAAAAATGTAGGCCCCTATCAGTTCGGAGGCGGGCCTCCGAAAAGGTGATTGTGGTTGAACGTCGGTTACGCGCAGTGTATCTTGAATAACAAGTGTACCCTTTGAAGATTACCTTTCTGGCTGCATAAGGTCTTCATGTAGCCAGCTTCGTACAGCTGCCCTTCTGCATGGTGCACTTCCGCCTACCTACGGTCTTTATCTAGCGAGGGGCGCTAGCAGCGTCAGGAGATCCTGCATAATGACACTTTGACACTTACAAATACCGCGGACACGGCACCGACGCCTGGGGAATGTGGCCTGGAGGCATGCCTATCCGGCATGCAAACGCTTTGATTTACCTTGACGAAGCACCGCATTCACGCACTTTGCAATATGCGAAGTTTGGGCGACTATAAGCCAGTGCTCCTGGCGATTTCTGCCGGCGATACCGTAAGGGCGTGCCGGGACACTGCGTGAAACATGGAACGCGTCGAATTAGCTACACAGCCAACACGCGGCTGTTCGCGGTTACTAGACCACCGCAACCATGTGCAGCAGATTTTCATTTCGCGAATACCAGTACGGGGAGAAAGAAAGCAAAATTACTATCTTATTGGCATCGCGAAGTTTATACCTAGTCTGTCCAAGAGATAGGAATTTTTCAATTCGGAAAAAGGAAACGAGAATGTGCCGATTTATCAGGTCCCGTAGTCCGTATATCCACCGAGCGGACGGGTAGCACAGTAATCCAAGTGGGGTGCTTGTCCGCGGGCGTGATAAAGAGAGACGGCACTACTCACCTTCGCCACGAGATACAGAGATAGCGGGTTGGGCACAAAGTCACTAGTCCTCTCGAATATGTGCTTCTATACCGCAAGTCTGGTTGGAGAAGCGTGCCTGGAAGGTCTTTGTGCTGGAGTGTGGATAATTCACTATCTATCCAAAACAACGACGGTCGACAATGAGCATCCCTAAACAGGGTTTACGAACACTCCTAGTAAACCAGTGCTCCTGGAGGCTTCTGTCGCCTTCGCAATGGCGCACCGGAACACAGTCTGAAACATGAAACCTGTCGAAGTATCCTCGAAACTAACACGGCTGTTCGTAGGCACTGAACAACCGCATAAATGTACGGCAGATATTAATTATACGTGTAACAGCACGGGGTACCCAGAATGCATATTTACTGTCTTAATGGGCGGTGTGAAGCCGGTAGAGAGGGTGTCCGGCATAAAGAAGTCGTTCAGCTCCGCTAGAAGATTGCAGGTGTGCCGACTCTTCAGGTCTTGCAATTTGGAATACGTTAGTGAGATAGGAGATTTTAACGGTAGGATGGAGCTGTTTGTACATGGGCGTGATAAGACAGATGGCACCACTCGTCTTAGCCACGAGATACGGAGTTAGCCTGCGGGGCAGAAAGTTACTAGTTCTGTCGGAAACATACCAACCGCTTCAACACCGCGGGCCACGGCGAAGGCGACTTTTATAATATAAGGTTAACACTGGGGTCTCTGCTTTGTTACTAGCTGTCGGAGACACAGCCTGGATAACCCTGAGAGCTGTCTGCCACCGGAAGCTGTACAAAGGACACAAACCCACTTCGATGAGGAGTTCGAGTGGCACATTGTTAGGATACTGCGTACCACATAGTCGGTGAAGGCAAGTGTTTCGGTAGGCTTATCACAACCAGCATCTAGAGGGCATGTTCTCCGGCCACGTTCGCCCGTGTTTCGTGCCAGACCCGTAGTACCTAGTAAGGTGTCTCAATGTATAGCATCTGCTGGAGGAACACGCTGAGGAACGGTCGACGCTGTCTTCTGCTGAGAAACTACGGAAGGAGGGCAAATCATAAAGGTTGGAAAGGTTCGACCGCTCCCGCACGCCGCTCCCTTTGAAATAGTGAGCAGATCACGATGGCATAAATGCGTCAAACTACGGGTAGGCAGTACATCCCATGTACGCGTAACGGCGTAGAGATACCAAGGCACCAACCCAGAAGGATACTGCCCTCATATATTCGGCTAACCGTTGGGATGTCTGCTGGAGGAACACTCTAAGAAACACACGACGCTCTCTTTTGAGGCAAGGTGTACAAACATCGCAAACCGATTTTGTCGGAACGCTTGCAGGCGCGCGAGCTAGTAGTCTGCGTACCGCCTAGCTGGTGAAGGCGGTATCCGCGGGGTGCATCGAGACCGATGCACACCCAGAGGCGTGTTCCTGGGCCACATCCGCCCAACTTCGGCCACAAAGTAGAGCAGAACGCGCTAGCATCAATTTCTCCGGCTACGGCGTAGCAAAAGAGATTCACATTCAAAGCAAGCGGCATGCACATACGGAAAAACAAATCAAAAGCGGTGACGCCGTACTGCAACAAGATAAACGCTCGGGCCTCTGATCTCTTATCACCGTTTGGAAGGACTACGCTGGAAAACACTGAACGCTACCCTTTGCGGGAACTGGTGACAAAACAGTAACCTTATCTTGCTGGAAAGCGTATAGGGCAGCAGACCCCGGATACTGCATGCCACACGGCCAGTGAAGGCAGCGTCTGTGCAAGGTGCATCAAAACCCACGCACACCTAGGGGCATGCCTCAAGGCCACATTCGTCCTACAGCGGCCACAGAACAGAGAGCAGAACACTTAGCGTAAATGCTTTTTGCTGGGGGGTAGCGGAGCTGTCTTGTATTCTAGTACAGGGGCTTACGCATACAGAAGACCGGACCGGGAAGAATGATGCTACGATAGAATAGCATACCCATGTGGGTGTCTGATTTCCCAGCGCCTTCTGGAGGCACACAACGCTCTGTTCTGCCGAAAGCTGTCAAGAATGGCCAACATATTCTGCTGGAAAACTCGTAGGGGCTCGGACATAGTGTATAGCAGAGCACGTACCACGAGTTCGCAAGGCGCATCAAAGCCCACGTCTGCCCGAAGCGCGTGCTGGCAGACCACATTCGCCTGGATTCCGTGCCATGTGCGCAGCACGTAACCAGATGAACGCGCGCGACAGTCTGATTTCTTGGCCTTCTTTCTTAGAAACGTGCCGCAGAACATTCAGCACTTACTTTTGCGGTAAGCTACTGGCAGACGTCGAACTCGCCTTGTCGGGAAAGCTTACAGAGGCACGAAGTCAGTAGGCAGCAGTCCCAATGATCTCTGAAGGCAACACCTTCGCAAGGTGCAGCAGAAACCACGTACAGCTGGAAACCATCTCCTGAGGGCCCATTCGCTCAGCTTTCGCACCTGATTCGCAGCAGCGCACTGGCCCTTTGAGAGCCCTACAAACCAGTATTGCAGCAGTTGGGTAGGGGCCTGTGTTCCTCTTTTTCCGTATCTCACAGCTGACGACGCTGCTTCTCGGTAACGCCGCCTTTCCAGCCCCTCTCTCACCGGCTGCGAGTGGTTGAAAGTGGCCCCCGGTTCCTGCTTCAGAATGTGAGCGAGACCATCAGTCCAATAAACCAAGAAATACGGTGCACGCAACAGTACTACACGCTATAGTATATTACTCTGTGAGCAGCCGCAAGTTGTCACAGGCGTATGTAAAAGGCAACCATACAGGTAAATGAAGAGAGGCCTTGATGCGGGTCATCTGAAATGCGTCTGTGCAATCGAAACGGAAAAAGGCTTCGAAGTGGTTGTCTGAACAACAGGTGCGTTAGTGAGCAGACAGACACCTGCGTTGCAGTTGTCTGAACGCCTTCCAACCTGAACACTGTAGTTTGGCCTGTACAGTACCTCACCGCACGGCAACTACTACTGGCAGGTACCGGCACAACAGCAGTGTTGAGCGCTCAATGTGTAGCTAGGGTTTTTCGCATCCCGGGGTATAGTCTGGTGGCATCCTCGATGCAGAAGAGCCACCACGGTAATATCCTGAACAACAACACAATTCTGCTAATACACACACTGTAAATGTAAAATAAAGGGCGCAGACGTGCATATCATTGCCGGCTGACGCAGACTTCGACCTGTTTTGACGAACGAGACCGCGACGACTGGAGGGCCGGCAAGTCAGGGCACACCGTTAGATAAAGAGAGGCATTCTAGGTGGCTGCTGAAACAGCCTTCATGCTACCGCAACAGGAGAGACCTTCACAGTGATTGGCTGGACAACATCTAGTCTACGGAAGACAGAGAAACCCGCAGTGCAATTTTCTGAACGCCGGTTACGGTAGGAGCTGTAGAGCAGCCTGCACAGTCCTTTTCTCTCATACGGCGACTAAACCACTAGGAACCAACACAAAAGCAGCCTAGTATGCTAATTGTGTAGTCGAGGTTCTTTGAGCGCCGCGCTCTTCCCAGGTGACATGCTCGATGCAGGGTGCCACCAATGTAGTATCGTGGACGGTGGTACCAAGGCCGCTTGTGAGAAGCGTGTATATGTAGAGCGAAGAACGCGCGTATCAATGCAAGAATAGATTTGGATCCTATGTGACCGGCAACAGCGGTACGACTCAGGCGCCACCAAGCCACAGCACGCAATCAAATGAATGACGCCTTATGCAAGTTTGGCCGACCAGCGGCCGCACTACTAGAAAGAATGATGCCTTGCAAGCTGTTATTTGAACAACATTTTCACGAGTACCTAAAAGGACGTTTTCATTGCAGTCGCGGGCGGCCCATCAGTCCGAGGAAGTGTAGGAGCCGGCACAGTACTACACTGCACGGCAACTACGCTACTATCTAGCAACGCAGAAGCAGTATTGTGTGCCCCGTGCGTACCGAAGCTTCTCCGCGTCCCGAGCCGAACATGCGTGGCATCCCCGGTGCAGAGGAGCCACTACTGCGCACACTTGAGCCGTGTTACCCACTCTGCATGTGCACAGACAGTATACATGGGACGAACAGCGCAAGCATACATTCGATTACTGGGTGGCGGATAATAAAATCCAATTTGGCGGGCCGGAACGCGAGAACGCCGGCATCGGCCGGTCAGAAAGCAGCTCTTCGAAGCGCTTTTCGAAGTGCAGCGCCCCCCTACCTATAGCAGCCCGCTGGCGCCGTGAACTCACTGAATAGATGCCGCTGCGGTGAGGCGGAGGGAAGGATAGAGTCAGCCAGGCGACGATTCCTCAGGCACACCCACGTTAGCGGAACCGGCATAACTGACATGCCCTCCTACACTGTCTGTACGCATCCATCCTTTTATCGTACGTTGCCGTCTACCGAAGCCAGGGGATCCGAAGCTTGTCAGAACACCCTCCCGATCATGAGCCATTCTATGCCTAAGGATATCAATGCAAGTCCACATTGTGCGCTTCACCACGTCTACGGGTGTCCTCGTACCTGTAGTGCGCCAGTCCTGTGAACGTTCTGCGACGCCCCTGCATCCCCATACTTTGTGCCGCGCCTAGAGAGAGCTTTCTACAGACGGAGCAGGTTGGGCAACAACCGCCGCTTACGTACTTTCCAGAGACTCTCACGTTCAAAGACCCACACGTCACGGCTTTGCATCAGGCGGCGTCGGTCATGCTCCTGTCCCGGAGAGGGAGCCTACAGCCTCCCCCGTGTAGAACACATGTGGGTTCCCACTCACAGCAGAAGTATTAAGGCGAAAAGCTGAAGTCTGGTGCGAAGCTGCAACGTGTCGGCTAACGCAGGCGTCAGGCATTCCTATCAAATCGAAGGCGTACCCCCAAGCGGAAAGCAGGAGCAATTCTGTACTCGGCGTATGTACCTCGTCCGGCTTAACAGATCCCCACAGGTGCACTGTCTCCAGGCCAGAATAACGCAAGTTGGGAAACTGCGGGCTCGAATCTATACACCGTCTAGCTGAATGGGATGAAAAAGTGTGTACACGCCTCAGTCCAAACCCCAGGATGCTTTGCAAAAGCACTCAGTATTGTGCGGTCCCGCTTCCTGCCGGACTCACGGAAGATGCCGTATTCGAGACAAAAAATCGTCACCAGCTGGTTTTAACCGTCTGACCATAAGCGCTCTGTTTCTTTACACGCACTGCAGTATCCAGCCTACGCGCCCGCCAGCGCAGGACGGCGCTTCTTCGAATACGTGCATTTGCATACACGTTGCGCTTTAGTGAAATGCTGAGAGGATCCGTCGACCTTCGCGCACACGATATCTCGAGCGAAAAGAGGAGTATGTCGCAAAGCGCATTCGCGCCGCAATACGGCCAAAGACCCGTGTGGCTGGGTCGGAGAAGAGTGAAAGAAAGGGCTTTTTGGAGCGACTCCTCTGACGAGGGGGAACGCGGCGGCCCAGCATTAACGCTTCACGTCTCTGCTTATCAGTGAGCAGCTGCCTAAGAATAATGCGTAATGCGGCCCCAAAACATGACCCGTTGTGGCGTAACAGCCCAACAAAACGAAGCTACGCAAATAGCACTGGAGCGGAGGACGAAGCCTGCTGAGAATCCTGCGCCGGGACGGCGGAGGCGAGGGTAGCCCCTTTGCAGAATGTCAGCAGCTTACTTGCACCGAGTGATACACCGTGTCGAGAAGGACGCTATGCAGCACGGACGCACGTCATGAAGATCCTGCGTGGCTCCAGACTAGACTCCACACATGATCATGCGGTAGCTCTCCCCACGTCCCACAGCTCTCGTATTATCGTTGACATTTCTTTGATCTCATAGTCCGGTCTCATCCCTTCACCTGTATGAGCAGCCTTCATTGCAGTTGGACAGGCTTGCGTGGACCATACCCTTTACTGCAGCTGGACAGGCTGCCGTGGACCATACTCTTACACCAGGTTACAAGCGCCTGCGTTGCGCAGTAAGGCGTTATCCAGTCATTTTGTAATGGAGAGAGCCAGTGTGTTAGTAGGACACTTTATGGCAGGCAGCGCTCAGACCTCCAGGTTATGCTCCCACCGCCTCGTTTTACCCGCAAGTCGGTCTACGCGTGGGTTACACTTGTGTCTTTTCATGTTCTCTCTGAAGCCAACGCGTCCGCAAGTGAGGAGAAGCCGATACTCATGTGCGACAAGGCCACGGTGTCATCATCAACTGCTCTCGGAGGCAGCCACGTCCGGAAAAAGCGGTACTTGAGCCCTCCACGATTTATTATCGAGAAAGAATAACGACTCCACGCTACCGCCATCGACCAGTTGCAGGGTTCTATATACGTCGGTGAAGGCATCTGATGGGTAGCCGCGATCGCGCGCGGCAGGTCCGTACTATTATGTTGAGCGTTGTTAGTAGGGGAACTCAGTATTCGTGCCTCAAAACAGCGCGGCTGCGCGTGGTGTATCTCGAAGTCAGCGCGGGCGGAAGCAACGATGCTGAACTGAGAAGCTGAAAGTGACCACCGCTAGCGACCACCCTGTTATTCTCATTCAGCAGTTGATTCGAGTAAGCAAGCCGCAGCAAGCTGAAGGTTGTTCCATCCTCGTCGAAGCTGAGTGTGACCAGTTGCCCTCTACCACCTTGAATCTCCCAGTCAAATATTGATTCAAGCAAAACGTGCGCTGCAAGCCGAAGGTAGTCTCAGTGTCATAGACGCTAAATGTGGTCAGGCGCTCTCTACTATTTTGGCTTTCCCATTCTAATATTGGTTCAGGTGAGACATGTGTGGGAAGCGGAGGGTAATTCCGCTGCCGTAGACGCTGGATGTGGTCAGCCTCTCTCTCCCATTATATATTTCTCACTCAAACATTGAATGGAGGAAGACGTGCGCGGCAACCTGAGGGCACCTTTATTGTCATAGACATTGAATGCAAGCAGGCGCTTTCTTCCACTTTATATTTCTCATGCAGCGACTGACTCAAGTAGCGCGTGTGCACCCAGCTGAAGGGCAGTCCCTTGTTGCATCAGAGGAGTTGATTAGCGTACGCCAAAGTCCCGCGGTCTCAGGATTCTTGCCAGAAACGCCGCGCAGCTGCCTCTTGGCATCTCCTTGGAGACGAGGGTGGCAGGCGCAGCAGCAGGTGTGTATACTGTGCAATTTAGCCTTCACAGTTCCTATCAATCCTACCTCCGATATGGGGTGTGCAGAGTACGGCTGTTTCTACACGTGTAGACTGGCGTGCTTGCCTTGTCAAGCCATTCCTTCGTAGTAGAGGCGTGCTGCAGACGGAAAAGCGGGCTGGCTCCACATATAGGGCAGAACCGAGTGCAGAACACAAAATAAGATGCTCGCGTAGCGAAGGAGAATACGTGCAGCTGCTTATTTGCGGGGCTAGTACTACCTCTAATAATATAGCGTACGGGGGGGCGCCACCTCTTCCAAATGCTGTGTAAGGGCGTTAGTGTCTCGCACGTCACCTTGCAGCACTTTCCTCGTGATGCAGGCATTCTGCGTGAATGCAACAGGCTTGTCTGTTCAGAGATGACAGGGTAATCGTCGTCCCCCGGTCAAACTGCAGGCCTTAGGCGTCGTGGCTCTTTCACCGGATGTAGGACGGCATTATTGCCTCGCCATGCCGTCATCATGCAGCAATTTCCTGCTGGTACAGGCATTCTGCAGCAATGGAGGAGGCCTGCCTCTTATCGTAGATGGCATGGTAGACGTTGTTCCGCCGCCAAACTGCAGGTAGGCGTCTCAGCGGGGATGATAATTGTCCGCCACTCGTCCCCCGACACTACTACATGGTAAAAGTGGCGCTGACCAAGGACAGCACCAAAATTTGACGGGCCTAAGTAGAAAAACAGTCTTTTCGAGTACGTGTGCATGTGCGGACGCTGGTGCCTTGTTTCGCGCAAAAGACAGAACTTTGTCTCCGCTAGCGTTCCGCCTCCGGTAGCGTTCCGCCTTCGCACCGTATCATCATCGCTCGCCTCTCCCAGCACGCCGCAACGGCCTAGTGATCGCGTGACTCGTCGATAAATCCGTCCCGCGTCCCAGGCAGGGTCCCGCGCTGAGTTTATCCCCGAAGACGTTCTGGTTTCCCCTTGGACAACGAAGAGTTGTTGGCTGGATAGCAGACGGCGCAAAAGACTTGCCTGATACATATAAATATATATACATATACTTATGTAAATATATGTACATGTATATACATACGTAGGTATATATCCGAGTGGACGGGAGGAGACCAGCTGTGCCTCACACAGTGCATGCCCGCTTCTTCTTCTCTAAAGCCGCGGCCGTCGCCCGGATGCGGCCTCCGCAACCATGGAAATGTTTTGGTACTTCAGTAAGAGAGATTTAGACCAGTGCATTGGAAATTCACCTTTCCTGCGACGAAGATTAACGGGTAGCGCTTCTAGGGACCCAAAGATACAGCGGGGAGGAGCACTTCTTGCTTGAAAGGCGCGTCCACCGTAGGAGGCGCGCGCGCCCCGCCGCGTAGGTCTCTCGTATACGTTTATATATAGGTATATATGTAAATATATACATTATATATAATCATATGTTTGTACATGCATATATATATATATATCGTATACACTATTATATAATGTAGACATTCTAATTACTCATTCTCAGCGGCGATCCCTAGGGAGCGGCTGCGGTGCTGTTGTGCTGCTCTTTTGAAAAAAAGACGTTTGTTGCCTGGTTCGCATGGCGAAGTAGGAATTTGCCTCCTTCTCCCTTCTGCGGCGGACGCCGTCCGTCCTAATACCGCAAGAAAGGCACACTGCTGGCAGTAATATACATGTCATACCTTCTAAACTTTCGAATAGGTATTTATTTCAAGTGTTTCACGGGAAGCCGCGTTTTCCTCGCCCGAAGCCCCGGTGTTCTCGGGGGCCGCCATTAGAGAGTAACGTTCTTGTTCTCTGTGGCGCAAGGTTGAAGTCTTTTCGAAAGCCTGTTTGCTTTTGTGGCAAAGAAGTCCCTACGAGGATATCCAGACACCTGCGTTTGACGGAACAGGAGACTCTCTTGCCACCTCTTCTGCGTCCACAAGGCCTATATATCGATGAGTACACGTAGAACGGTTGGCTGGCATTTCCAACCGCTTCAAGCGGAGGATTGAACATATATATATATATATACATGTATACAAATGTCTATACAAGCATTTATACATACGTACATATATACATATATACATATATATATATATATATATATATCCGTATGTAAATGTATTAGCGCTTCCTCCGCGTGAAGGCGTGCACATCGCGCCCCCCACGGCATACGTGGTGATCTACTGACTTTACGGAATTTCCCTCTCGCCTACCAACTACAGAAGTTCCCTTCTACGTGCATCTGAGTGAGATTACAGCTTAGTCTGATTTCCCCCATCGCACATCAGCCTGTGGCGGCTTGCGGCCCTGCAGGCTCCTCGGCCCTCTTCTCGGTTGTAGATACGCCCCGGCATCGTCTCTTTTGCCCGAAGGTAAACTCCAGGCAGTGGCCAGCGCGGCCTCCCTCAGCGAAAAGATTTGTTGTTTTTCTTTCCTCCCTCAGCGGCAACACTCTGTTGTTTTCTTTTTTACTCGACCTGTTTGCTTTTTATTCTATGTACTTCTTCGTCTGCCATTCATGCCTTCTCTCTTTGCCGTCATTGTGTGGGAGTTGCGACCCACGGTGCCCAGTCTGAGAATAAAGGTTTTTTCGTTGAGTCTCCTTGAACGCCCGTCTGCTTCTGTGGCAGAGACGTCTTTATAAGGATGTCGAGACACCTCAGTTTGACGAGACATCCCAGATACGCCCGTATATGTCTAAATTTGCACTACGTTCATTCAGTGGTGTCGTATGGCAGCTGCTAGATGCGTCTGTCTACACATCTATATGTGCTTTTTATCCTCAGTGGTGTTGTATGGCAGCTGCTAGATACGTCTCTCTATATGTCTGTATGTACTTGATATCTCTAGTGGTGTTGTATGGCGGGTGCTGCGCAGCTTGATTGCGTGTGCGTGCGGTCTCCTGCTCGCCGCGTCTGCGTTTTTTGATGCAAAAGTTGGCGTCCGTCCTCGGTAATTCTCGGCAGACGGAGAATCATATATCTGTATATATATACATATATATATGGAAGCAAGGGAGGTCTGCGTTCAACGACAACTACCTTCCCAGGCGCGTATCTGATTACTTGTATAATAATAAACATACGTACATGTATATATATATATATGCACATATACACTTACGGACACATTTTGTAAGCGGGAGCGCAGTTTGTGTCTCAGCCTGTCTGTGTTCGTAGAGTCGGTCTCGTCTTGCTGCCTCCTGCAAAATGGGGGCCGGAGCTTTTCGCGGTGCCCGCTTACGCCCTCAGAGGCCGCTTCCGCGGGTGCCTCGTTGCTCTCTTCGGAGCGGCAGAAAGGCTATGACACCAAAGAGTGGGTTTATTGCTACGACCACTCCGTGTTGTAGTATTGATGCCGTTGAAGATTGGCCTGCAACGCGTTTCGCGTCCCTTTCAGCAGCAGCAGCAGCAGCAGCAGCAGCAGCTGCTGCTGCTCCGACGTCTGCAGCTGCTTCGACGTCTGATGTCTCTCTTCCGAATACTTTATTTCGCTGTCGGCAGTCGTACTCCTCTGCAGGCGGCCCAGGAGAGATATCACCTTTTCCCGCAAGTGCGTATGGTGTCGCATTGCAGACAACGATGTGCCGGAGTGTCCCGACGGATGCTGGGCCGTCACAATCATCTATTTCCGCCTTTCTTATCTTGCGCTGCGATCGCGGCAACCCCCGTCCTTCTTTTCTGTATCGGCGAAAACCTCGTGGCCTGTTGTTGGCTCCTTCAGTGGCTGTGCTACTGGCTTGTTACTTCTTTTGCTGCTGGGGCCCGCGTTCTCCGGCTTTTCTTCTCTCTCCGCGTCCTGCGGCTGCACAGATAGTTTCCTATAACGGCTTCCAGGCGCCCCCGCCAATATCTGCAATACCCCAGCGTGGAGCTTTCTTCCTTTACGAGAAAGGCACTCATTTTTATTTTCCCTTCTTCACTTCCGCGGGGACGAAGGACAACAAGCACAGTCAGACCACTACCATTACCTTCAAAAACCTTTTTTTTACTGAAGAGTCCTCCACTGTTATCAAATCCACTATTCCCTCTCCCTCTTCGCCTTCTTCTCCTCCAGCTCCCGCAAGTTCTCCAGGACAGACGAACTCAGGCATAACTCCTGGAGCTGCCTCACGTACTGGGCAGTCTTTTCCCGGTGCCCCTAAGGTTTCTCCCGCTGGTATAGAGATCAGTCTGCTTCCCTACGAGTATACGCGTACAATCTTTAGTGCGCCCTCTCTAGCTCCTTTCTGTTGCGTAGCTCCGCCGTCTCCCCAGACGTTTGTCCCGACTCTGCAGTGTCCGTATGTTGGGGCACTGAGGCGAGCAGTGCACGCAGAAAAGAAGGAGCAAGCCACAGGCGACTCCGCTAAGCAGAAAGGAGGAGAAGGAGGGTCTGAAAAAGACCATTCCTCTCCTGCTGGTAAAGAGGAAAAAGGAGGAGTAACAAAGGCTGCTGGTGGCCGTAGTAGCGGGAATAACGATGCAGCAGGCGCAAAAGCTGGCTCTTCTGCAGGCGAAGCCGCTGGGGGCTCTTCTGTCTTAGCTGCAGCTCCTGACTATTCGCAACCTATTTTGCTGCGATTAGAAGGCGGAAAGAGCATAGGCGACTCTCAGGAAGTGACTCTAGAAGTGAATGAGGGGGGGATATATTTTCTGGTCATATCGAATTGTGGAGGGTTGGCGCAGCTGGCCTTCGATGGCGAAATTCAAGTTCGGAACCCTTATGGCTATTTACCTGGGCATGAATACCCGAAAATGCCTTTCTACTTTATATTTATGCTTGTGTATCTCAGCGTGTGCTTTCTTTGGACCTTTCTGCTGTACAGACAGCGGGCAAATCTAATAGCGTTTCACAAGTGTATGCTGCTCGTCGCTGTTCTTGGATTTCTCGAATGCCTTGCCCTTTTCGTGTACTTCTCCGATTTCAATATGCGGGGCTGTCGCAGTTCTGTACTTCTCGTTATCTCCGTTCTCGTCTCGGTCGTCAAGAATATCTTTTCGTACATGCTCGTCCTTCTGGGAGCTATTGGCTGGTCTATTACCATTCCCGTTTTAGATAAGAAGACCATCGTTAAAATGCAGATCATCGTCGTCCTCTACATCATTCTAGACACTGCGAGGTAAGATAACAAGCTTGTCTTCTTCCTACTTCCATCCCCTTCTGTGCTTAATTGGACTGGCACGCGAGACCCTCTGATATGTTCTTTTGTCTGCACATATGCATACAATGCGAGAAGGACGAACGCTTCTGTGTTTGCTTCTGTTTTCTTAATGCATTCTATTTCCTTTTTATCAGATGTACATGTGTAAATTAATAGTGTCACGAGTAGGAATATATCTAAGTAGGTAGAGATATATATATATATATATATTATATGTATGTACAGGTATCTACATACGTGAATGCGTGCGTATACGCGCGCAATAAGAGCTACAAGAGTCTGCTGGTGAAATGTAGAGCCACATACGTGCATACACAAATGCATGTAGGTTTGCCTATACATCATGTTCACTTATATATATATATATATATATATATATATATATATAATATATATAATATATATATATATATGTCTGTGTATGTATACGATTATAGCTGGAGATAGACACCAGATCCAATTATGTATGCTATCGCAGGTAGCGTCGAGCGACTTTCTCTGTCGTCGTTCGCATGATGCTCTCACGTGCTGTTGCCTTGTTGAAGTCCGTATATATGTACATATAATGAGCATATATATGTATATATGCACGTGTTTCTTAGCTCGAGTGAAATGCAGAGACAGTACATCTGTATAAGAAAGCATATACCCGAAAGTCGTTGCAATATGAGGAGACACCAGCAATGACAGATATGGCTGCAGCACTACACCGGTGCATATATGATGTGCTGCCCCTGCTAGTGTAAGTATACGTCTAGTCACCTAATTATGGTACATGGTAGTATTGGAGCTGGTATCTATGTACACACCTGATCATGGTGCATTGTAGTATTGTACATGCTACATGGTAGTTTTGGTAGTAGTAGGTGTTATCTATTTGCACGTGGAGCTGCTGCTATCCACTTGCATGTGCTGCATGTGTTGCAGGCAAGTGAGCGATGAATTCAGTCACTCCCACTCTCTGCCGCTGGTCCTTTTACTGACATGTCTCTTCCCTATTTCCGCCTTGAACGGCCTTCTTTTCTATTGGATTATCTCGTCTATAAACAGCAATGTAGAGGTAAGCACACAGATCGTCTAATTCTTATTCATGTACGTGTGTATATTTTATATCTATATCTAAACCTGTACGTTTGTACATGCATATAAGCCTAGTCGTATGGACAACGGTGCACTTCCATCTGTTCTATCATTTAATGTACAGAAGAACAGAAGCCGAGAGATGCACATCCATTTGTGTAGCGTCCCTCTAGAAGCACGTGCAATTGTGGGTAGTCTTACATCTATGTCTTCTGCTGTATATCCGCGGACTTGAACAAAAGGAACACAACCATGTACATACATACGTATGTATATGGCTGTCTGCACGTTTAGACGGGCGTGCAGCACCCGGTAGGCGTATGTACGGACTTTTCATGAACTCGTTTTTGTCTTGCTGCTGCCCCATCTACATACATGAATACATATGTGGACGAATAAAGTATGTACATGTACATATTTACCGGCTGTCTGCCCGTGCTACGTCTGCAGTCGTACTACATATACGTATATACTATATATATATACGTCTGTATGGATATACGCCTACCGGGTGCTGCACGCCCGTCTAAACGTGCAGACAGCCATATACATACGTATGTATGTACATGGTTGTGTTCCTTTTGTTCAAGTCCGCGGATATACAGCAGAAGACATAGATGTAAGACTAGCCACAATTGTATATACCACCGTGTACGTGTATTCCGTTCCTCTAGCTGTTCCATGTAGATAGTTGTACAACATGTATGTATACGTATATATATGTATATATATGTATATATATATATATATCACCGTGTACGTATTCGCATGTGTACATGCGTACCCCTATGTATCTATTGACTGCCTGTTAGCCTTTTCTGTCTGTATAGTTGTACTGCACATATCTATATTATTTGCCTGTTTGTCTTTGCAATAGGTTCTCATTGGTACGCGGGCCTCCTCCGTGTGTATTTCCCTCTCTCTGTATGCTCTGTTTGGCTCTCCGATATATTCGTAATTCTTGCAAAGACTCGTCTTTGCAGATACAGCAGCACGACGGAGAAGCGAAGCAGCAGTATGAAAAGAAGAAGGGAAAGTCTGCTTCTGTTTCTCCTTTTCTCCTTGTATTCGTCGATTTTGACCACGTAGCGGCAAGTGTGCTGCAAGGGCAATAGGAGCGGGAGCACGATAATGGTGAAGGGGGGCTTTTGTTCTTACCCCGCCAGCGCCTGCGCACATGTGTATATATATATATGTATGTACACACATATAAATACACATGTATATACATGGTAAATCTACGTATTTCTCCCGTGTGTTTTGTACTGCAGATGCTGCAACAGCAGAAGCAGCACGAGAAGCTTCTCATGTACAAAAGACTCTACGCAGTGCTACTGCTGGCGATTTTTCTTGCTATCATTGATCTGCTTTGTCAGATATACGTCGCTTCTTGGGTAAGAGGAGATTATGCTACCACATATATGTGCACACACATATATGTGTACGCGTACACGTATGTATACATATAGCGTATACATATAGACTCGCATTTACGCATAAACGTTAGTATGCCCAGTGTTTCTCTCCTCTCGTGTGGCCCCTTTTTTCTTTTGTTCGGTGAGGGTGGTCTTCTGCTAGTGTATGCATATATGTGTATATATATTTATAGATATGAATATATGTATTGTACATGTTGCCCGTGTGTCTAGACGTACACGAAAAACATATATATATATATATATATATATATATATATATATATATATATATAATGTACACGGGTACCAATGAATGTAACTTGTATTTAAGCGTAGGTGTTCGTGTTTCCGGTCTTTTCACTGTATTTACTGTGTTTCTCTTGAGTGGTCTCTCTCTACTGCATAACATGTACGAGTGTATGCATGTATATACATGCATATGTATTACAGCGTATATGCAAACGCATACGTATATGTCAGTACACGTGTTTTTCCGTCGTTGCTTCCTCTTCTGCAATTTTTTTTTGTCTCATTCTTTCTGGCTCCGGAAGCGTCGTAGACATCATATTATATACCAGCGAATATCAGCTCTTGTAGCAGGTCTTCTTTGTATATGGGTTGAGACATAAGGCAGAGAAGAACGTATATATATGATTTAGGTACATGTATACAAGTGTTTCGTATGTTCATCTCTTCTTTCTCGAATGTACTATTATGCGATTGCCTGCCTGTCTGATCCCTTTTTGTCTTTTCCTTTCCCTGTAGGACGCCTCGTTCCCATGGAAGAACCAGTGGTGGCTGAGTGATGCGGTACCACATTTACTTTTTCTTCTCGTCTTGGCTGCTATGATGTTCATATGGAGACCAAATCATCAGTCCAAAAGGTAACGTATACATATATATATATATATACATATATGCGTAAGCGGGAGCACCCCTTCGTATTAGCGGAGTACCTAAAAATACATGTTCCACGTGTATATGCTGATGTCCGCATATATATATATATATATATATATATATATATGTAAGCATATTCATATATTGTTTTGTATCTGTAGTTGCGTGTACTGCAGGAGATATGTAATGGAAAGGATATTTGTATTCTAACGAATGCACTACCTGCAAAAAATATATTTTGCATGTATATATTTGTCTGCGCATAGGCTATATACGTATATATATATATATATGTATATACGTGTTCGCTGATCTACAATATATCAGATGGGAATCGTTGTTTGCTTAGGGGCGCAGTCTTACAATTTCGCGTGATGAAGGGACATGTATAACCAGTGTGAGGGCTGATCCGTATATAGTGGACTGATAAGGAGGGTAGGGAGTGACAACAAAGACAAGTGCGAATATAGGTCTATCCGAAATTAGAGGCGGAAATCTTACAACGATGTGATAGAAAGCTGGCTGATTCGAAGCTGCTTCTATTCATTGATACGCGTATATGGACGCCATATTTATATGTAAAGAGAGAGAGTTACAGGGGGAAGTAAATGCAGATATACATGTACAGCTGCTTAGCCACGAAAAAAATGCCAGTACGTAATCGCATATGCATATACGCATATGTATATATATATATATATATATATATATATGTATAATGGCACGTAAGTATGTGTGTGGTGAGAACTGATTTGAATTTTTCTCCGTGCGTACACGTTGTGGAAAAGATGCCAGTAGGGTGGCTTTGAACAGGCGTATATATATATGTATATATATATATGTATATGTATATGTTCTCATGTCCCCCAACGTACGCATATATACGTGCATATGCAGGTATACATCATATCGGTGAGTATGTGCGTAAATGTGTATATATATGTGTGTAGACCTACACGCATGTATGCGTATGTACATCTATGTATTCATACACATGTGCAAGTGATGCGCGTGGGCCTTGGATGCAGACTGGCATACTTCACGGAGTTGGGAGACGCAGACGATTTGGAGAGAACCGCAGGAGACAACAGAAATAAGAACGTAAGACTTCTACTCTTGATTTTTTCTTTTCTTTTGTCTCTTGTCTACACACTTTCCAAGATGTACGCTTAGAACTGTGCTACCTAGGACCGTAGTTTTTCCGTTGTTGCGGGACCCTCTCCCATCAGTATACCTGCAAGGGGGGGGCAGTTACACAAGACAAACTACGCGTATTCGGTATACACAAATATGTGTACGTAATATTTGTAACACATATGTACATACATGTAATGGTGAGAAGATGGCGAAAGAAGTCTAGCAGTGTAAGACACCGTTTCTCCTTTTTCTCTCTCTCTTGCTTTTTTCCAGTTTCGAAGGGAAATCCAGGCGCTGCTACAAATTTATCACTTTATCGCTTCTTCTTTTTTCCTGATATTCACCCCTTTTGCTATAAATGTATAGGCTGTCGAACGAATATACATGACTTGCTACGATGAACTGTATTTGGTTTGCTGTTTCCTGTGCACGCGGTGCTGTAGCACAACGAACATTATATTGCGTAGATCCACACTATATCCGTATGCATA